CCAAAAGTCAGCACCTTATAAAATCTTTCTCTTTGAAGCTTGGGATGGCTTGCACATGGCCTTTTTGCACATCAGATCAAAGGCCAGGCTCATGAACTCTTTGTATGGCAATGAAGGGTCATCTCTAACACATAAATCCTTTCAGAGGTGGTGATGAGCGGAAATCGTCTCCTTGACTCATCAGAAGCAGACGTGGGGAGACTGAGAGACCATCTGGAGGCAACATGGGGTCAACCTGCCAGGAAGGGGCCCCCTAACCAGCCTCCATGGACCTGACAGTTTGCTCTCTGTTCACTTAAAATGGAAGCGCGCAGGCGGAGTCTTGCCCGCAGGGAAGGCACCACCCAGCCATGGATGGTGACAAGTCTGTAGCACTGAGCGCCCCTACAGGACTTCACGGTTTGTGCACAGTGATGCTACGAACAGCCCCCGGGTTCTTTTACTAATTGCTTATTGATATAAGCAAGTCTGGCAGACTCCCTTGGAGAGACTGTCTGTTAGTGGCTACAATCAGCTTCAGATCCAGGGACCCTTAGAAATGGTTCTTTTTACTGAGGAGGAATCTGAGTCCCAGGGAAGTTTCAAGAGTCGCTAAAAGACACATAATAAGATCCAGCAGAGTTAGTCCTAGGTCTGAATGCAAACTCTGCACTGTTTCCTTTACTTTTTTTTTTTAATAACAGGAGGAAATATTACTGATAATCCCACCATCCCAATAACAGCTATTAACCTTTTCCCATATCATCTTCCAGATCTGTCATGTGCGTACGTTTTCTGTGGGTGTAACCACAGGGCACGTTCCCTTTTAATTGTGGCTTTTTTCGTAGTATCATGTCGAGACTCTTCCTAATTCCATTTCTTTTGAGAGTTATTCTTGGGGGAACCTGCTACAACTGCTTCACCATTCCCCTGCGTTGAACGGATAGGCTGCTTCCAATTTTCCTCTTTTATACATACTGTTCCTATGAACGTAATCACGCCAATAACTTCCCCCCGACTTTAAACGGTTGTCTCTGGAGAGGATCCTAGGGTGGGGATTACCGGGTGAGCTGCGGTTCACAGCACAGATGACCACTCTGCATTCCAAATCATCATCGCTTCACACTGCCCGTGGCAATGCATCAGGATGTCACCCCAGCCAATGCTGGCATTGTCACTTTATTGCCTTGCTATTTAGGGGAGTAAAAAAATGAAAAAAAAGCAAAGCTCTTTTCACTATTCTAGGCCATCTCTGTTTCAAATAAATGGCCCCCTTCCAAAAACCAAGGAGGGGACAAAGTCGTATATGAGAGAGCAGATCCGCCAGCTGTACGGAGAGGTTACTGACAATCTAAAACAGGATGAAGTGGCTATGGCCACCATCACTTTCTGTCCCCCGACCCCAGCTCTTTGCTTTGTCCATCTGAGCCCTAAGGTGACTCCCACCACGGCCGCCTCGTTCAGCACACAAGCCGGAGGCCAGGCAGCAGGCCTCAGGGTGCACAGTGCCAGGCTGTGCTTTCTCTTGGTGCCATGTACCTTCCCAGACGGACAGACATCTCATAGGAAGTGCCAGCCCAAAGCAGGATGACACTGTGGCCCAGGGAGAAGGCAAGGAAAGCCAAAGGTGAAAATTCTAGCCCAACTCATTAAAAAGCAGAGCTTCCAACTCCAGGCCCACGGAGAATTTCTCCAAGAAATGTTGAAATCACAGGCGAGCTGTGGAAGAGGGCTCTGTTTCCTGTAATGAGACAGGCATCCTGAGTCTCGGGCTGGACACAAGCCCGCTTTATGGCATCTCATCTCCAGACACCGGTGGGAGAAGCACAAAGGTTGCTTCAGGCTAGTGTTTGGATCCGGGAATTCCTCTAAGGCTTCTGAGGTCCTGGGGATTCTCACGTACAGGGACTTGCAGGCCCTGGAGCTGGCTGCCTCTCAAATGTCCTGATCAGACAGCTGGGCCTCAGCTCCACCAGCTAAACACGCTCGTGTTCATGAAAAAAACTGTTAAAAAACCATCCCCCTCCAAAAAAATTAGAGGACCAGTAAGTTTTGAGAACCAGTAAGTGTCATGGCGTAGGAATGGCCTCCAGTGCTGTAACTGTCCACGCAGAAAATGCTGGAAACAAGAGTGGGATAAAACCCCACGAGGCCCCGCTGCCAGGTTCAGGGCTCTCGCTGCAAGCTCACCCATCTGGGGTTGAAGCCGGGTGCTGCCACTGGCGCTCCAGGGTCTTGGGCAAGTTACTTGATCCCCCCCCTCCCAAGGCCTTAATTTGCCCATCTGCAAAAGCGGAATAGCAACCAGGCTACTTCATGGTACAGGAGTCAAAAGCAAGAACTCTGGAGTCGGGCTGCCCGAGTTGGCACCCACGGGCGGTACACCCAGGATCCTCTGCCCTCCCCGGGTCTCGGTTTTCTCATCTGTCCAATGGAGATACCAGTACCTACTCAGGGAGTTGTTATGAGATGGCATTTGTAAAGGGCAGTGCCCGCCAGGGGAGGTCTTCTATATGCATT